AGAACTCCCCAACTCTTAGTGGTTGGCCCAAAGTCACTCAGTTGGCTTTGATGCCTAAGGCAGAACTAGAACTCACCCTCTCTAGCTTTTCAGACAGGTCCATCAGTCTGACTTCTATCTAAACAGAGAAGCTGTTGTCTTTAATCAAATGTTATTTTCAATTTCTTTTCTGATGCTTTTCCTATTTAAGATGTTTCATCTTATCCTGTGAATTTAGGTTTGCCTTCAGTTTTGGTAAGACTTGCATTTCTGTCTTCCTCACCCCACCCCCACCCCCCAGGTATGTGGTCGACAGTGGGTTTGTGAAGCAGTTAAACCACAACCCAAGGGTTGGCTTGGATGTGCTGGAGGTGGTGCCAATTTCAAAGTAAGTCTGACGAAAATCTAGGTTTTGCTTTGCATCTGGGTAGTCCTCAACTTACGACAACAATACAGACTGGAGCTTCGGGCTATGGAGATTCTCAGTCATCCAAGTCATGGTTGTCCCAGAGGTGCCTTTTTCAAGAGGCAACTGGACTTTCTGGTTTTTCTTTGAAGACGTTTCACTTCTCATCCAAAGAAGCTTCTTCAGCTCTGACTGGATGGTGGGGGATGGAAGGATTTATACTCCTTGCAGACAGCTGGTCATTTGCATCCTTTTTAGAGTCGTTAAGGCAACTTGGAGTCCCACAGGTGCTTTTCCAGGAGGCAACTGGACTTCCTTGGTTTTTCTTTGAAGACATTTCGCTGCTCATCTAAGAAGCTTCTTCAGCTCTGATTGGATGGTGGGGGATGGAAGGATTTATACTCCTTGCAGACAGCTGGTCATTTGCATCCTTTTAGAGGGTGGCTGAGGTTTGTTTGTGTCCTCAAGGTCACCTGAGTGGTACAGCAGTTGGAACTGTTGAAAGGACTATGTTGTAGACTGGAGATAGATGATGTCGTATCCCTCGCTCTCTGTTGAGAGACGGCTGTTCAGTTTTGACACAGATGGCCTCTTTAACCCCTCTTTTAAACCAGAGGCCCACTCTATCCAAAATGTGGACGTTGCTGTCTTCAAAAGAGTGGCCTCTGTATTTTAAATGCAGTTGGATTTAAATGCAGATAGACATCCATTTGCACCACTCAAGTGAGCCTGAGGACACAGGTAAACCTCCAAGCGGCCGCAATGACTCTCTAAAAGAATGCAAATGACCAGCTGTCTGCGAGGAGTATCAATCTTCCCATTCCGCACCATTCAGTCAGAGCTGAGGAAGCTTCTCGGATGAGAAGCGAAACGTCTTCAAAAGTAAAAACCAAGAAAGTCCAGTTGCCTCTTGACAAAAGGCACCGTTGGGACTCCAAGTGGCCTCAATGATTCTAAAAGGATGCAAATGACCAGCTGTCTGCAAGGAGTATCAATCCTCCCATTCCCCACCATTCAGTCAGAGCTGAGGAAGCTTCTCGGATGAGAAGCGAAACGTCTTCAAGGAAAAACGAGAAAGTCCGGTTGCTTCTTGAAAAAAAAGCACCTTTGGGACCTCCGACGACTACCCCATTACACCGTGGGAAAGTTGCCTTGCGCCTTAAGACCAAAGAGCCGCGCGAGAGGTCAGAATTTGGGCTAATAAATAGCGGAGTTTTTTTTCTGTTTCCCATGTGTTCCTTTCTTAGGAGTGAGGCGGTGCAACGCTCAGGCAGAGCCGGTCGAACGGCCTCTGGGAAATGCTTCCGGGTGTATAACAGGGAATTCTGGGAAGAGTGCATGCCAGATCACATGGTTCCAGAGATCAAACGGACCAGTTTGACATCCGTGATGCTGACTTTGAAGTGCCTGGCCATCCACAATGTCATCAGGTAATCCCTGGCATGGATCTTGTCCTCCAAAGGCTGAGCTAGCGCCAGAGTCACATATATACGTTCCTATTGGTTCTCCGCCTCTGGATCTATTGTTCTTTCTCTGCCCAGCCTGCCCTGCAAGACTGTTGTTTGGGAAAGAGAAGGGGAAAAGGTGATACAGGGAGTCCTCGACTTACAATCACAACTGAGCCCCAAATTGCTAAGTGAGATGGCTGTTAAGTGAGTTTTGTCCCAACGTGTGGCCATTGTTGTTAAGCAAATGGCTACAGCTGTTAGTAACACGGTTGTAGAGTGAATCTGAGCTTCCCCATTGGCTTGGCTTGTCAGAAGGTCCCGCAAAAGGGGATCACCTGCCCCCAGGGGACACTGCGACCGTCATAAATAGGAGCCAGTTACCAAGCGCTTGAATTTTGATCACATGACCAGGGGGAATGCTTCAGAGGCCATAAGCGGCAGACATTTTGCACGGCCTCCATGAATCAGATTGTGCTTTTATTCATTTCCACGTTGGTTTTGCCAGCTCCACCAGGCAGGCCAGACCAGGAAATCAACTCCAATGGAACACTAAAACTCATTTTGCTGAATATGGCTGTAATAACAGAATTTGATGGCTCTTATTGCGCTGCGTCTCTTCTTCCTCCTCCTCCCCCTCCTCCCCTCTCTTGTAGTACTGATGATGTTATCTAGTTTGGTAATGAAACATCTACAAGAAAGCAACCAACCATCCCGCAGTCGTCCTCCTCCTCTTCTTCATCCTTCTCTTCCTTCCCCTTCTCCTTCTCTCTCTCTCTCACTCCCCCCCTCTCCTAGTACTGATGATGTTACCTTGTTTAGTAATGAAACATCTGCAAGAAAGCAACCAAGTGTCCCACAGTCGTCCTCCTCCTCTTCCTCCTCCTCTTCATCTTCTTCCTCCTTCTCTTCCTCCTCCTCCTCCTCCTCCTTTCTCTCTCTCTCTCCCTCCCTCCCTCTCTCTCCTAGTACTGATGATGTTACCTAGTTTGGTAATGAAGCATCTGCGAGAAAGCAACCAAGCATCTTGCAGTCGCCGTCCTCCTCCTCTTCCTCCTCCTCTTCCTCTTCTTCCTCCTCCTCCTCCTCCTCCCCCCCCTCTCTCTCTCCCCCCTAGTACTGAAGTTGTTACTCAGTTTGGTAATGAAACATCTGCAAGAAAGCAACCAAGCGTCCCACAGTCGTCCTCCTCCTCTTCCTCCTCCTCTTCCTCTTCTTCCTCCTTCTCTTCCTCCTCCTCCTCCTCCTTCTTTCTCTCTCTCCCTCCCTCCCTCTCCTAGTACTGATGATGTTACCTAGTTTGGTAATGAAGCATCTGCAAGAAGGCAACCAAGCATCTTGCAGTCGCCATCCTCCTTCTCTTCCTCCTCCTCCTCCTCCTTCTCTCCCTCTCTCTCTCTCTCTCTCCCCCCCCTAGTACTGAAGTTGTTACTCAGTTTGGTAATGAAACATCTACAAAAAAGCAACCAAACATCCCGCAGTCCTCCTCCTCCTCCTCTTCTTCCTCTCCTTCCTCCTTCTCTTCCTTCTCTCTCTCTCTTTCTCCCCCCCACCCTTCTAGTACTGATGATGTTACCTAGTTTGGTAAAGAAACATTTGCAAGAAAGCCACCAAGCTCAGAGAGCAACAAGAGCCCCCACAGCTGTCTTCCTCCTCCTCTTCCTCGTCCTACCAAAATTAGGGATTGATCTGCTGAATCTCTTCCAAATGTTGCTCTGGATTTAAAAAAAAAGTCAGTCCCTTTTAGGTCACAGTTCCTGTGTATCTCCGTCAAGGTCATCGTCTTTGTTCTTGACAGCTTTCCATATTTGGACCATCCGAACGAGAAGCACATTCTAGTCGCCCTTAAACAGCTCTATCAATGCGGGGCAATTGACAGGTAAGCTTTATTATTTGTACTGGGGAGCTTTCAAAGAAATACATTTTGATTGGCAAATCCACATCAAGGAAATCCAGGCAGTTCAAATGAATATAAAAAGTTTATTGCAAATTCATGCTGTCTGCAAGAATCTGAACTACTAACAGTCAAAGCAAATTGGTGGGAGATTAGAATGAAAGGTAGCCAAGGAAGATCTTTTGTGGGTTCGAAGGGACTCAAGATGGATGACACGTTTGACCCCTCCCCCGGGCTCAGTCAGGTCATCTTCTACATTGATAAGCTTAACGGGATAATGAGTCACACTCATTGAGTGAGCTAATCTTCCCTAGGTGATAGCTGAACATCTTGTGTGAGCCAGTCAATTGAAGAATATAATCCTTCACGAATCTTCTCTCTCATCCTCAAATGGTAGGCAAGGTCATGTGACCAAATTGGGCCAGCTCATGGTTTGGCTTCCTCTGCCTCCTAACTTGTCCTGCGCCGTCCTCAAGGCTGCCTCTCTAGGCTGTGATGACTTGCTGCTCCCCATTGCGGCCATGTTGTCTGTGGAGAAGGTCTTCATTCATCCAGGTGAGAGCCAGTGGAATTGGGGGATAATCGCAGTGGGTGGTCGTTACCCTGTCAAGACCCACATTTTTTCCCTGGTGTGGTATGGTTGGAGCCTCATTAGTCACAACCACATGTGTTCTGTAGGAGGAGGTAGTCATGAAATCAGATTTCTAAAAAAGCAGAGATCTAGAATGAAGCTCTCAGGAAAGCAAAGGTCTAGATTGAAGCTTCCAGAAAGCAACGTCAAGAATGAAGCTCCTGGGAAAGCAGAGATCTAGATTGAAGCTTCCAGGAAAACACATATTGTATCTAGGGCCAGGCTTCCAGAAAAATAGAGATCTAGGACCAAAACCTAGGAAAATGGAGATCTAGAACCAGGCACCCAGGAAAGCAGAGTTCTAGAAAGTGTTTTTAAGTTGCTGACTCCAATTGCAAATTGTTAGGGATACACCCTAGCAGAATCTGCACGGCGGTCAGGCAGGCAGGCAAAATATGTGAGATAAACGTTTTTGTAGCTTACACTCAGTAAAACAGATACACTATGCTAGTTAAATAGTTTATTCCAGTAAGAGTTATAGCATAGTCAAACAGTCCATATATCATTCACTAATTCAGTCCGTCGGGGGATTATTCAGTTGCAAATTCCAGTGTCGAAAAAGAGGTCAGTAAACTTACAAATATCAGTCCAGTAATATATCTCCTCACAGTAGAGATATGAAGAAGTCAACACTTCTCTCTTCCTCCAACGTTCAGCAACTCAGCAGTAGGGAAACACGCAGTTAACACACCATCAATCCTTCAAACCAGGAATCGTCAGTGATGTCAGCAGGTTCTCTTGCTCCCTCTTATGGTGGTTTCACACCGCACCCAAAATTACATGCTTTGCAGTTTAAAGTGACACACACTTAAACTTACTATCATAGTTTATATATATTATTTTACCCAAACTACGTTAGGTAACCTTGTTATTCCTAACACAAATGAGTGAACACCGCAGAATGCATGGTGATGGAGAGGCAGGAAAGATTCACCAAAAAAAGCTTATGAGAGTTGAAATTCTAAAAAGGACAAGAGATGATGGATAGATACAGAATATTATTTAACACAGTGGTTATTTTAGTAAGTGGTAGAAAAAAGAAGTAGAGAACAGAAATTGGGAAAATAGTATTATGTATACTGAAACCTATTATAATGACCATGTATACACAAATGCTAGAAGTTGAAAAGTTACAATTATGTATGTTTAAATGGCAATATCGTTATCAGAATTGTATGCAAAGTATGTTGTATGTATACGGTGTATATACGTACAATGACAATAAAGAATTCAATTCAATTCAATTCAACTCAATTGACTCAGATAATAATACACTGTTCACCAAGTACTTATGGATGTTAAAGAAAAAAATCATAAATAAAATTATTTTTTTAAAAAAGAATGCATGGTGATGACTTGGATTGTCCAAAGATGAAGGTCTTAGTAAACTGTTAATTTTTGACCTCTTTGGTTTCTCTGGCCAAAATAAATGATGGTCCTGTGATGCTTTGAGCAAAACAATTGTCATCATTTATCATAGCTCATTTTGTATTACAGAATCCCGGCGAAGCCAGAATGAAACCATTTTCCTGAGAGCCTCTTTTCCTAAACTACACATTAGGTTGTGACTGTGTTCCCATAACAAAGTCAACTGCAATGTGGTTTAGTTTGATTGATTTTTGATGGATAAGGGGCCATCACGTCACTGTCAACTCTTAGTGACCACATAAATACATTTTGTCCAAGATGATTTGTCCCCAGATGATCCTTCAGGTTTTTCAGTGTTGTGGTTTGACCTTCTGCACCTAAAAGCAGGTCATGTAACTACGGAGCAGTTCCTTAACCACAATGGGCAATCATGGCTTGTTGTAGGTTACTAATTAAGGTTAATGCCTTCATTGCTATCTAGCATTTGGTCTGAATGTGGACTAATGTTTAGCTCAGGAGCGTCCCACTTTGGCCATTTTAAGACCTGTGGTCTTCAACTCCCAGAATTCCCCAGCCAGCCAGCCAACTATAAGACTTGTGGACTTCAACTCTCAGAATTCCTGGCTGGGGAATTCTGGGAATTGAAGTCCATAAGTCTTAAAGTGGCCAATGTTGGACAACCCTGGTCTAACTTATGATTCAGCAGTTATTAGTCCTCCAGGAAAGTGACGTGAGGCCAGAAGTGACTGAAAAAATAGAGCCGCTCTTGGAGTGGCATCTCTGCTGCTCTTGTTTTCACTTTCAGTGGTTTGGGGGGTTAATTGGGGACACCTATGGGGATCACAGCCTTCCTTTATCCTGCACAGAATGTTTCTGTTCCTATTGAGCTATATTTCTGTTGTCCTCAAAAATGATATGAAGTAGAAAATGCCAAACAGCAAAGTTTTCTGGAATAGTTGTCTTTGGCAGCAAAAAATCACTACTAGACAGATTTGTGGCTTGGAAAGTTTTGTGCTTTGAATGTCCTTTATTTTTCCCTCTAACCTTGATGGTGCTTGATAAAGCGAAAGAATCTTGTTTTTAAAAAAGGGGTGATTATGTTGGAGTTAGGAGACTCACTGGAAAACGTGAAGACAGTTTTTAAATAGGTTTGCTAAGCTCCTGCAAGGTTTAGTGCCTTTGTTTTATCTCTTAAACCTTCTCCAGAAAAAATAAAATAAAACCAAAAACATTCAGCCCGATCCACTCTAGGGGATTGTCTACTAAACAAGAAAGGAATTTCTATTTTTAAATGGCAATATCGTTATTGTTTTATTGTTACTTATACTTATTGTATAAGTTATTGTCTACTTATATTTGTTTGTTTATTACTATCGATTTGTTTTCTTGTTTATTCATGGTCATCTCAGGAGTCTTTACCAACACCCAATTTCAAAGGCATCAATACTCTTCCTATGGAAGGAAGGAAGGAAGGAAGGAAGGAAGGAAGGAAGGAAGGAAGGAAAAAAGGAAAAAGGGAGGGAGGAAAGGAAAGAAGGAAGAAGGGAGAAATACTAGAGAAGAGAAAGCAAGAGAAAGGGGAAGGAAGGAAGGAAGGAAGGAAGGAAGGAAGGAAGGAAGGAAGGAAGGAGCGAGGGAGGAAGGAAGGAAGGAAGGAAGGAAGGAAGGAAGGAAGGAAGGAAAAAGAAAGAGGAAGGGAGGGAAAGAAAGGAAGGAAGGAAGAAGTGAGAAATACTAGAGAAGAGAAAGCAAGGAGAAGGGAGGGAGGGAGGGAGGAAGGAAGGAAGGAAGGAAGGAAGGAAAAAGAAAGAGGGAGGGAAGGAAAGGAAGGAAGGAAGAAGTGAGAAATACTAGAGAAGAGAAAGCAAGGAGAAGGAAGGAAGGAAGGAAGGAAGGAAGGAAGGAAGGAAGGAAGGAA